CAAACAAAAAGGGTAAGCAAATGCCTAATAAAAACATACACAACATCAATGCACATGCATTGACATAAAGAGGTATAAAATATGGAAGTGCGTAATAATAGTAAAAATCTGTACCAGTTGTAATCAAAATATGCAATGTTATAAACTTACATCTTCATCCCGTTAAAGTTAACAAAGTTATTGAATGAGTTTAACGGAGTTTTTCTTGTGCCGAAGCATTTTCACTTTGGGCGGAAGTGAACCCATGTAAACAAAGGCGAAAATAAATTTAGAACTGGTCATGTGACATCTAAACTTCCGGAAAAGTGCTGTGTACATAATTTTATAGAAATTGTAATTTGGCGTTACTGAGAAATTTAGAGAAAATAATTTTAGCTCTAAAAATAGATAATTTTCAATCGATATCTGTTAACATTTGTATATCTCAATTCATTGAGCTACGCATATCTACGACATACATTCGAAATTAAGTAAATGACTAAATCTAACAAGAACAAAGAAAATCAAAATGCATAAAGTACAGGTCTAGATCAATTTGCTACAAAAACATATTTAATTTGAACACATTTACCCTGAGATCATGAAATATAAAACATATATTCAATCAAAGCATATTATAAAAGTAATATAAAATATTGCCTACCTGTAAAATATGACCAAGTCGTTGAAATAAAATATACGTCTTTTATTTTCGAAGTGTCCAGCAACAGTTACGCGCTGGGCTTCGATTTGGTCAAGGTAAGGCACATACAGGGTAAAATGTAAACATATCAAAGGCGAACACAATTATACTGAAAGGGAAAAGAAACGCAGGGTAGCATAATTTTCGATAAAAATTTGACCACATGACCGAAAATTACGAAAATTGGTCAGAAGGGAAATTTTGTTACGTGCATCAAAATCAGTATTTAGAATTACTCAACCGTAAAATTTATGACGTCACGTAGGGAAAACGCTAAAAAGCCCAAAACACGTGCAATTTGATAACGACGAGTTTGTCAACAAATCTTGTTGCATTATTTGATGCATATGAGGTATGCACATCGTTTTTCAATATTAAGAAACATCATGAATTTATTGCAATCTTGGCACAGTTTACGGAAGTTCAATGGGGTCTTCTTTTCGAATTGCCTAATTAATGAAAAAGGCAACAACGGTTTACTAAGCAGTCTCTTGTAAATTTTCCCCCATAAAACGTTTTAGCTGTTGTCAGAGTGGGTCTGGAGTGGTTTTCAATCAACCATGACGATGACGGTAACGCGAAACAGGGTCATGTTACGAGCGGGTTATTCGTCCTGCCATCTCTTAAATCGCCAACTTACTACCACAAAAACAGCAATTTATAGAGTTAATGATTATAATCTTTACATTCATACGAAATTTGAAAGAAAACAATTCTGCAATTTGGTTTTTTGAGCCAGTCAACTTACGGTTGTATTCTTCTCACTGGCGCATGCGCGCGCCGTTTGACTTATTTTTTGCGTGGTTACCAATGCTAAATATAGCCAGGATTTGAAAGATAAACACTCTGATGAAATTCCATGCAAAGGAGAAATAAGACTCTGACAAATGCACGAGATAGACATTGAAGATAATGAGAGTTTTCGATTTTCACTTTTGGAGGGTATCGTCATTTGAGCTTCAATAACTTACGAATAATTAGGCAAAATCATGTGAGAATTTGGTTATATCTTTTTGAAAGATGATTTTAAAAGGTAGATAGGAAAACTAAAAAGTATTATAAGAAAAACAAATTTAATTCACCTCAAAAGTTTACCCTGCGTTTCTTTTTCCTTTCAGTATATTTACCTGTCGGGGGCCTTGTACCCGAAAGATAGAAAAATACCAATCTTAACAAAGAACCTTAATCCGATGGACTGACACTAATTGAGTGAAGTAGACTTAAAAAGATTTTCTTAATCAAATTGCTTGGCTTTGCGTAAATGTTATTTGTCAGTAAATAAATCAGAATTTCACATCGCCAGAAAATGTGTGAATATGTACAAAACTTCTTAACTTTATGGCTTTAAGCTAGTCAAAGTGTTACTTGTTTTTCTAAGATAAAAGAATGCTGAAAATGACACATGTTCTTAAAAATCTCAAATGAAATTAATTATTTTATGAAATAAAAATGTATGAATTAATTTATAAAAGTCAAAACTCAATTTATTATAAAATATATCAGAGGGTCAGTTTGACCTGATGATAAATATCACGGTGTGATTTTTTTTTTTTTATAAAATCAATTTTAGTGACATGTTTTAGCTGACTTTAAAATATACTCTTAATAAGTTAATTTACTGTAATTACAACTTGAAAACTTTAATTATACTAATTACTATGTAACTCCAAATGTGGAAATTAATTATTTAATCAATTTATTCAACATGTCATGAGTTATTCCATCTAAGCCATCTGTCGCTCATGCTCTGAATTGTGCTAATTGCTATTGTTATATTTTATTATTTATATGTTACATGAATCATTGTTAACCAGTTAACTCCTAGGCTTCGGGTTGTTGGGGTGCAATTTTTGGATTTCCAGAATTCACCCTACCGACCTATTTTATAATAAAGTGCTATTCCATCGTTAGCATTTTTATGTTTTATTGTTGCCGGAAAGTTTGACACTTATTTTCCCCGGTGATAATTTGGTGGAGATATCCTAAGGGTATAACACCCGGGACTGCTGCTTATATTTGTAGCAGTTTGATCGTGAGTACCATCAACTAAGCGAGTTCCCCCGAGAAAACCTACATTGTATCTTCAACAACACCATGTCAACCTGGAGAAAAGGACTTTACCGCTCCTCCCCAACATCTTACCAGCGCCATTGTCTTTTGCGTCCTTGGATCACACCAGGACCAGCACGAATTTTCTCGACACCAGGATCCTTTCCACGGTGCGGTAGGTTCGGAAAATCCTACTTCCACGACCACCTTTTCACGTGTCCAGCTACACGTTCCGAGTGTTTCGTGTGCGGAAAACTTGGTCATTATGCGCAAGTATGTTTTTCTTCTGCAACAACACCTTACCGTTCCTCCCAAAGGAAATCATTTCCAGTGGCGTCCATCGATCACTCAACGATCAAAAAGGATCAAGCCAAGGGGTCAGGACGGGCCTGCTTGAAGACAAACCTCGGAAACCCGTCTGTAGGATCGTCTGACAACAAGTCAGCAACAACATGCGATTCTACGGCAGGTGTGTGTTTTTCTCGGACTGCTTCCAAATCTAGTCCGATGAGTGTTGCTGTTGCGGAGACGCAAAGGAAGAGCATACTTTGTCTGCAGACTAAGTCCGTAAGCAAACGGCGAAGGGATTAAAAAAGAATAAAGAATTATTACGATAGGTTGCAGTTAGTAAAAGCTTTACCATTCCAAGACCTAAGTTCAGAAGATATTTGCAATTTATTCAAATCAACAGGCCATACGACCCAACTAACTGCGTTACAGAATGAAAACAAAACTTTAAAGACAAAGATAAGTGAACTAATAACGAAATGTGAAAATCTCCAAACAGTGACATCCGCCCTCCATAATCGAATATCAACATTGCAAAGCAATCAAAAACCAACGAACAACGGAAATGGGAAATTCAACTCAGCTAAGCGTGTTACCAAAAGACATCATTTTCTTCCGCTACCAACACCTACCAAGAGTTACTGGTACCAACAACCCAGTGCTGCGCATTTCAGTTCCGGATATTCCTGAGACGAGGACGTCTCATTTTCCGAAGCGAGAGGGAATTATCACTGTGTTTTTTTTTGTTATAAAAACAATTTTAGTGACATGTTTTAGCTGACTTTAAAATATACTCTTAATAAGTTAATTTGCTGTAATTACAACTTGAAAACTTTAATTATACTAATTACTATGTAACTCCAAATGTGGGAATTAATTATTTAATCCATATATTCAACATGTCATGATTTATTCCATCTAAGCCATCTGTCACTCATGCTCTGAAGTGTGCTAATTGCTATTGTTATATTTTATTATTTATATGTTACATGAATCATTGTTAACCAGTTAACTCCTAGGCTTCGGATTGTTGGGGTGCAATTTTTGGATTTCCAGAATTCACCCTACCGACCTATTTTATAATAAAGTGCTATTCCATCGTTAGCATTTTTATGTTTTATTGTTGCCGGAAAGTTTGACACTTATTTTCCCAGGTGATATATAACCCGTAAAAACAAATGTATTCCTCGCGCGAAGGATGAACATTCCACGGCAACGAATTGTTTCAATCGAGAGAACGAATTACAATCCGAGATAACGGAGTCTGTAATTTGAGGGAACGAATTGGTAATTCGTTATAACAGATTGTCAATCTGAGAGAACGGATTGTATAAATAGAGATGTCGGTTTAATTTTACAACTTTCTGAAAATCCTCATGCCCCTTCATGGCTTTCGTATGAAAACCATGAAGGGACATAGGATTTTTAAAAATGTATAAAACACGTAAAAGTAAATCGAGTTCTCGATCATTGCAGCGCGGTGTCTTCATTTAGTAGTAACTTATATAAGTAGACCAGTTTTCGAGAGTCAGGTTAAACAATTGGATAAACGACAGATTTTTTTAAATACTCATTCTAATATACGATCTTCAACAATATTCATTGTGTGTTCCCATTATTAAAGATTTTGCCCTGCTGGCCTGTCTCTCTGTCTGTCTATTTGTCCGCAAAAACTATAACCTTTGCTAATAACTTTGTGACAAGACTTTTGTGGTTATTAATATTTTGACCTTTAGATCATAAATTTTGACGCAATTTTCAAATACTTTGATCTTGGTCATAACTTTTGAACAGTTAAAACTACGGCTTTCATATATCACAGGCGTATTTCTTGTGACAAGAACCTTCCATCGGATACCAACAATTTTTACCATTTGACCTTTGCATTTTGACATACATTAAGTAAATTCAACCCTTGCCATAAGCTGCTATACGAGAGCATAAGTATTTTACAAATATGTTCTGTTTTTTTTCACTTAAGATACAAGACAGCGATGCTAAAGATGATATGGTCAAAAATTTACATAAAGTATTTACAGAGGACTCGCACAACAGTGCGAATATGATGTCAAATTCATGGAACAAGCTATTTATAGAGGTATGTGACACCAAAATAGAAAAAAAATCATTAAAAACATTTTTATAAAGATCACTGACATATAGACAGTATAATATCTGAAATATTACTATTATTTGCTACTTTTGTTAAAGTTAAAATAAAGAACTTAGTGAAGTTTAATGATACCTTTCTGTTTTTCCCATTTCTTTCATGTGTAAAAGTGATAGCTCGCTTGAGATATATGCTCCAGTAATCTTTACTGTTCGAATAGTTTCCAGCTTCCATCAGTCTGTTTGTCTGTCTGTTGTGTTTTAGAATGTTTTTTGGTGAGCAACAACGGCGTAAAAGTGCGTTTCAAATCTGTAGAAAAAAGAATTATTTTTTTTGCACAATTTAAAAAATCGTTTGAGCGATTTAGAAATTCTTTTATGCGACACATATTTGTTTATATGGTATAGAAATTCTAAAACTTAGATTTCTAAATATTCTTGAATCGTTTGTAAAATTTTAAATTCCGTTTGCACACTTCAGAAAATCATTTGTACTATTTAGAAATCCGTTTTTACGATGGAACTCGAACATTTTCTTTCCATTTAATTGGTAATTTGCAACATTATTTTGTTAAAAAAACATTCTGATTGTACACATGTACTCTGAAGGTAACATAAAAAAAATGAGTTTCTGATTGGCAATTTCTATGTTGTTTTTGGAGACCAGGTCTTCCAACAATCTATTGGAATTTCCTTGGGTACCAAATTCGCCCCGCTATTAGCAAACCTATTTTAGGTATCTATATGAAGCAAAATTTGTGCAAATCCCATATAAAGAAGGGAACACTTTGTGGCCTTCAATTCTACATTAAGATATATCAACGATTCATTGCCAATTACCAATGGTAATTTCCATTCTTTCGTCCATTTGATCTATCCCAGTGAGCTTGAGATAAAAGATACCACAGAATTGGACACATCTGTTTCATATTCGGATATTTTACCTGAAAAAGATGTTAATGGTAATGTAACAACTTAACTCTATGATAAACGTGATGACTTAAAATTTTCAGTCGTCAATTTTAATATATCGAGTTTAATCTTTTAATCAATGAAGGATATGGAGATCACGAACAGTATTCAATATCAAAGTCCATAAAACATTAAGCATGGGTATTAAAGATAACAAAACAGGCAATATCTTCTATGAGCAGTGTCAGTTGACGGTAAGCAGTCATCAATTAGCATATACATGTATAAAAAGTAGCATGACCTTTGTTCTCATGGAAATTGTATTAAAAAAAAATCTGGGAATTTTTAAATAGAGGGGCTATAAGTAAGTTATACTTGTAAATAGGAGTAGAGAGTATTCCCTTTTCATTGCAATTTATCTAATTCCCACATTTCTTTGCAGACAAATAATTCAATCAATAGATATTTTGATAGAGGTATTGAAGACTTTATACATCAGAAAAAAATGGGGAGGGTGCAAACTTTTATTAAGATCGTGGGTTATAATTGTTGTTAAATGCATTGTATATAAGATAATTTATACCAATTAAAAATTATAAAGACCTTTTACTCTACGTAAAAGCAGTTGCTCTCATGCAAAGAGAGGCAATTGCAGTGCAGGGGAGTAAAAAGGTCACAGGCGTCTTTAATGAGGGAGCAGTCCTGTATATAGTGTATGTTGGACATGTAGTGGGTACGCCCACCACCACCACCACGAATGTTTTAGCATGTTTAATATTAGCCATTATATAAATACGATTTCATTAGACACATGTAAAAGAAAACATCTTTATGTACTTTTCCTAAGGTAAAAAAAAAACACCGAAAGATATAACGTATTTTTCACTGGGCAAAAGTTATATATGTTTTTATAACTTTCAGTAATATTTCTTGTATAAATACGTATTCCATATTCTGAGGTCCGTGTCTGCTCTGCTCCTATTTTATTGTTTTATGGACTTTGAGATTAAATACTGTTACACTGAAAACATAAATTTGTCACGTTGACCAGATTTGAAGTCATTTTCTTCCGTTCAGTTAGTTAATACATAATTTGACTATCTGTTTCCTCAACATTACCAGTCTCTGGTCAACTTTGACTTGTGACTGGTCATTTTGACTTTATTTCTAAAGACCATTGTAAGTCATGTTTTGTTGTTTTCTTGTTTTAGACAAATGTTGTAATTTGTAATAAACAAAGTACGCGATGTTGTATTTTACAATATTATGATACATGTAAGTTAGGATGTGGGTTGATTGTGTTCCCCAATTAATGCAAACAGCTTTTGGTCTAAAATTCAACGATTATTACATAGGTATTATTCTTTTACAACTCACGTCCAAAAATGCTACCAAAATAAAATTATTTGACTGCATCAAAATGCAAAAATTAAATGTTTGTTTTTAAGATGTAGTTGACCCATTTCTGACGAGAACAGCCAAACAAGAAGAAAACAGAACTGATGATGATTTCATTCACTTGTGTCATGTTTGCTAAGGTAAACGTAATTTTTAGTCATTTTAATTAAACGACTAAAGGTACCCGTTATTTTCTTCTTAATACTGCATCAAGTATTTAACTAAATTTATATCTTGATTTCCTTTCGATAAATAAATTTTGTTTTTATATACTCCATTCACTCCTTTACAGTTTGAAAATACCCCAATCCTCCAAGTTTTGTTATTATTGTGAGCACAGCATACCCTCCCCTCCCATGAGACAAAATTATTATTCGTTATTTTTTAAGGTGAACAATTTTCTCAAATTAAAGATTGACATCCCTCTGTTTTTACAAATAAGCTATGTTTTACACGCACAGATCTACGAGTAAAGATCTAGAGATGGGGGTTTCCGTGCCATCACTTTGGAATTTGTGGTTATTTAATGTATAAACTAAACCAACTAAAAGTGATACTGCCCCCCCCCCCTCCCGGGGACCCCTCCTGGAAAAATCTTGGATTCCCGCCTGCTTTTTGTAGATTAGGAATAAACTGAAAATTATGAAATACGGTTTTACATGTACTTCAAAATGATGAAAATTGTTTGCAAAGTAGCTAAGCCAATCTAGATAAATGTTGTTGCCGCGAACAGTCTCTTATTTTACAGAATTAAAAATAATAATTAAAGTAAATATATTGCATTGCATATAAATATACTTTTTTCTTTTATTTATCATCAAATTTAGCTATCAAAACAGATTGATAATCAAACAGATTGATAGTTATTTTTTGTAAAAATTATATTTTGCTTGGGAGTGAACCCAAGCAACATTCAAGAATTCATAGTGTGAAACCCTTGCACTCTCCAAAAATTTCAGTTAGTTATTTTTTTTTTGATTCGAACACCGTTTCATTCCTGTGATTTTGTATTATTACCTTTATAATATCACTGTTATGTTTTGGATTAGTTGGACTGTTGTGCTGTGAATCCTGTGGAAAGTACGACTAATGATTTTGATTTCACACCTTGGTGTACAACAAGTGGGGAATGTCAACAAACCAATTCACAAATTCCGAAGACTTGCTGTATTGGTGTCACAGAAAGCACGTACTCTTCAGCTCCTTCAACTTGCCATGCAAATGTAGACAGTGGAACATATAAAGCTAATGTAATCAACTAAAAACATTTAAATTTTCCATCAGCACAAGACTTAAAACATTTGATAATGCGCGATTTTCCACTTGAAATAAATACAAATATACACACACCCTCACAGCCATTCCCATACCCTCACAATCACTCACACATACACAAAAAGGAAGAGAGGGCGAGAAAGATTTAACTGAATTTTTCGTATGTTAAATAAAAGAAATATTGAAAGGAATCTATTTTTCTTTTACAGGGATGCTACGAAGTTTTGAAGAACAAAATATACCCTTGTTATATGGCTGTGATCATTGTTGGCTTTCAATCACTTATCATAGAGGTATACATTGAAATAAAATTAAATCAATTTCTTATAGATGTGTATCTTCGCTAGCCAAGGGTTTCCGATCCGAAACCTAGTAGAGTAGATATCGGATCGGAAACCCTTGGCTAGCGAAGATGATAGATGTGGTGATCTTACAACACATATGCTAATCAATATATGCATTTCTTTAGCACAAACTAACTCCGTGTGCAAGGTTATATATTCTCGAGTAATCGCCATTTGAATCATCATCATTCTCGCAAAAGCGCAATGATTTTTCATTAACGGTTTTTCATGCTTTAAAAAATTCTCTCTTTTAAAACCAAATTCCAAATCTGTTACTATTTTCTTTACTAGAAACCTCCATTTCAGTGTCAATTAACTCGATATATCACCACAGGTGCATGTAATGCACGTGAAGAATCTAATTGGTTGTCTCTATTTAGAACACCATTGTTAAAACAGACAATTTGCATGTAATTAAAGAATGAAATGGACATTAATATTACATCATTTGTTAGTTAGTATGGTTTGGATTGTGTTTAACAGATTTGATTCCGTGATGGCTTCGCCATGAAAGCAGTTGCAGTTAAGGTAGACCGACAAGAATAACTTTAGCTTAACAATAGCTTTTCTGATCGTCACCTTTCGTCTGTCATTTGTCCGTCTGTCTGTCTCTCTCTCTGTATGTCTGTAAAGTGTTCACATTTTTAACTTGTCAAAAACCAAGGGACTAATTTAAATCGATTGATTGATTGATTATACATGTTTTTTTTTTAAATTCTATAATTGTGCATTTTATTTTAAAATGAAACATATAGAAATAACGAACAATGTTCAAGATCAAAAACGTATTACTCCGCTTGACGTTACTTTTAAAATAGGCTATATTTAAGCCTTTTCCGGAGGAAAAATTGTCTCATTGTCTATACTGAAATTAAATTACAAAGAATGAAGCTTATTTCAACTTATGTTATACGATATAACATAACTTGGGACAGTTTACGCTTTTTAATAAACCGCTTCACAGTTTATAAAGCATAAACTGCCCCAAGTTATGTTATATCATATCGTATAACATAAATTGGAAATAAGCTTCATTCCTTAAATATTATGTACTGATAATAGTGGAGTACTGGAGCAAACCTCTTCTCTAAGCCTATACATTTTGTAGTAAAAATTGGGCAAATGTAGTCTATTTTTCCTCTTTCGGAAAAATGCATTCTGCGAATAATTTGTACTTTAAACATATTTTATTAAATAATACAATAAGGATTGGGCAACAGAAAAGGCCTACATGAACGAACACCCTCTCCTCATATAAAAGGTCAAGATATGATAGTCAGTAATAATGCAAGTACATGATAATAAAATAAGGTTATAATAAAAAATAAAGATCAAGAATTATTCATCAATATTACATACATGTGAAAAAAATATGACAACCCATAAATGTATATGAAATTATTCCAGCTTAACAATAATACATACTGTGGAATCATCAATGTTCGTGGGGGACCAATGTCCGTGCATTTCGAGGGTTACCCTTATCCACGAATTTACATCCCCATGAACATTTAACTTGTAAACATAGTTATTTATTGAATCTTCTATATAAATGTTACCCACGAAATTACGACCCCACAACCAACCCACGAACATTGACTCCCACGAATTAAAATGATTCCACAGTATGAGTTGCGTCAAGCGAAAAGGGACCTTCTTGACCAAATTTTTGAAAATCAGTTTTTGACCGTTTTTGAAAGTGATAGTTTTTTCTGAATATATCGATACCAAATTTTTTATAATACACCTTCTAAATTCTAATTTAAACTCAAAATTAAAGCAGTGAAAAGCTAACAAGATAACGCTATAAAACGTTATATAACATCACACAACGTCAGTGATATTTTAAAAAAAAAAAAACGTATATCACCGTTTTATATAAGTTAGAAGTAATATTTTCTAGATGTATTTTAAAGTTTCTTCAATATCTATTTTTCCAAATTTTAGCATTTATATGATCGTATACGTGTACTTTGTAAAAAAAAAGATAATTTAAAGGTTGTTGAAAAATATATCAACTAAATGTACATGTAAATTAAAATAATAAAGTAAGGAGTAAATTCTCAAGGAATACGAAATTCGGAACTGGCCAAACGACTGTTTATTCAACGACATCATCTAACCTTTTTTTTTACATCATCAACATAATTATGCTTTAATCACTGGAAATCTGTATTTGAAAGGATCCTTGACCAGGGACAGACCGCTGACCATAAAAAACCAAAAAAGTTCCTACTCTGAAATCATCTGGCAAGTCATTCGTAACAACACGGCCATTTTCCAATAGAAATTATTTATTGTTCACGTAAATGACCAACTTATTTCGATTGCTCCCAAGGAAGTAACAAGAGACCAATGGGCCACATCGCTCACCTGAGCGCATGGGTTAGTTTAAAAAACACAAATCAGCTCAGTATTGAAAAGTTTACTAGTTGGGGGAGGTTGAATTTTTTTTATTAGTTGAGAGTGTCACTATATCAATAAAATATACTTGTATAATTTTGAAATACTTGAGAAGATTTTTAAAGATTTTTTTCCTATATATTTCTATGTAAAGATATGATTAGTCAATATGACCCCACCTTACCCCCAGGGGTCATGATATGAACAAACTTGATTTAACTTGATTTAACTGATCATGAGGATGTTTCCATATTAATATCACCAATTATGGCTTTGTTGATCTTGAGAAGAAGATTTTAAAAAGATTTTCCCTATGTATTCCTATGTAAAACTTTGATCAGTCATTGTGGCCCCGCCCTACCCCCGGGGTCATGATTTAAACAAACTTGAATCTACACTACGTTGAGATTCGTACATCTGAGTTTCATCATTCCTGGTCCAATAGTTCTGGAGAAGAAGATTTTTAATAAAAAAATTCCTCTATATTCCTTTGTAAAACTTTGATCAGCTATTGTGGCCCCACCCTACACCAGAGGGTCATGATTTGAACAAATTTGTATCTACACTACCTGAGGATGCTTCCACATGAGTTTCATCTTTCCTTGTTCAGTGGGTCTGGAGAGAAGATTTTTAAAGATTTTTCCTATGTATTCCTATGTAAAATTTTGATCAGCCATTGCGGCCCCGCCCTTCCTCCGGGGGTCATGATTTGAAAAAAAAACCCTTAAATCTACACTATCTGAGGATGTTTTCACACAAGTTTTACCCTTCCTGGCCCAATGGTTCTAGAGAAAAGTTTTTTAAAAGATGCCATTAATTTTTCATTCATTCATAAATATTTACATTCAGTGTAATTTTCTTTACGACGTTCAATTTTCTATAACACACGTGAAACCTTGTCACCTCACGTTAGAATACACAGTAGGAACTATATGCATTTTCTATTATCTAAGAGCACCAAACTGTACAATGTTTTGACTCAATTTAATTAAAACTATAATCCTGTTAAATTAACGTAAATATACTACAAATGTGCGTTTAAAATTAATTTTTCTCTTTTTTTCCTCGCAATGTTTGTTTGCGTTATTTAACTTTGCAACGTCATCTGACGTCAAAGGGCTCTTACGTCTATTAACCACGTCAGTTTTGAAATGAGCTAAATTCACATTAAAGATTAACGAAATAAGCAATTATGAAGAAGGAAAAACGCGCGGTATTCAATTTGTCGGCACGGCCAGGTGTGTTATAGGACCGAAGACAGCCAAAAATATGAATTCAATACTTAATTATCTCCCCTTGGAAGAAAAATTGGCCCTTCATCTGAACCAGCTTGAATCCTCTTCACCGAAGGATACTTTGTGACAAGTTTGGTTGAAATTGGCCTAGTAGTTCTTGAGAAGAAGATGAAAATGTGAACAGTTTAAGACTACGACAACGACAATAACAACAGACAACGGAAAAATGTTGATCAGAAAATCGCATTTGAGCCTTCGGCTCAGGTGAGCTAAAACGAATACCTGACATATCACTGTATATGTAGGATTGATCCTACAAAGTTGTGTTATATACGTATATTTCTCTTTCGGTGTAATCGGCAAACCCACCTCCACAAAAACAACAGTACCTATACATGCATATTTTATGGTACTTCCCTGAACTAATATTTCGGGGGTGATTGGGGTGCAACTTTCGGGCATTGCAATTTTTTTGCCTATCAATTATTTCATATTTCTTTCAAAACCGATTCTCCTTTCTTTTATTTCATTTGAAAATTATAACGAAATATGGAAAAGCTACCAATTCAAGATAGAATAAACGTGTTTTTTTTATACCCCCAACGATGCTACTTGCCCGTATTTTATATAATGATTTAGATGCTAAAATATAATTGAATATACCGGTTCACACATTTTATTATATACCTAATGTGTATCACCCAATTTTACTGTTGAATTTACGCTATCACATGACGTCGTGATCCGACTTTCCGGATCATCAACATATTGTTTTCTGAATCCATATCACCACTCTCTGAAACTGATGACGTAGTACGCAGAAATATGACGTTATTTTTCTTGCGCGTTAAAAAGTCCCTTGTTATTATGCTTTGTTTTATGGATAAATGTTATGCAATTGATCTCTAAAGTTTTCTTTTGCTATATTTTGCTATTTATGAGGGGGTATATAATAAATTTATTATTATAACAGTAACTTGATCTTGACATCATCATATTTCGCGTCTCGTTAGATCTGATGATCCGCGAGTCAACTCGACGTGATACGATAATAATATATATGTATCAATAATTGTAACTTAATAATTATATATCAGTGAAGGAAAAATAATGTTTTTGTATATTGGGGAAACGGGGGAGCTAGGGGAGAGGTCTACTACGAAATAAGCCCGGCACGTTGTGCTGGGAACTAGGGCACATTTCTTCGGTGCTTGCAGTTGTGTGTTGTACAATGTAAAAAGAAAAACGTGTTTTTCATTCTCATGTTAAAAATGTTAAGGAATTGACTTTGTTCTGCACTAAAAAAAATAG